TTAAACTCAAATATTCCAAACAAGTCACGGGTTAGTCCTAAAATTTTTAATTCGCAGGCAGCTTTTTTGCGTGATCCTAATGTATTTTATTTATTGGTTGAATTTCGCGCAGGAATACTCTAGAGCTATCTGCGCTAGCCATCTCTAATTTTCAAGTGGTAGCTCAGAAGGAAGGCAATTTTTTGTTTTTTTTTATTTAATTTTGCGCAAAGCTACACGAGGGCTATCTGCTCTAGCAATCCCTAATTTAGCAGTGTAAGACTAGAGGGAAGGCAGATAGTCAACACCACCCACCAAAAACTCTTGGGCTACTTTCGCAAATCGAATAGTGTGATTTGGCCATGAGTCTTACATTACAAACCATGGCCCAAAGTACGGAGCGTGATTTATTTATTTTGTTATTATTTTTCTGTTTGCTCTAACAGGACGCGAAACACGGAATCTGAGATCCGTGGTCTGGCACGCTAACTATTGGGTCACGCTCGGCCCGATCCTGATGCAAGGAGCTATTTATACAGACATATTTGAGTTACTGAGACATTATCATAAAATTATAAATTATTTTAATCACGATCACATCTGTAACAAGTCTTCTGAAAATACTGGGAAACAAATGTAATGTTTTTAGAATACAGTACATCATCCCACGATCTAAGATGGTAAATGTAAGCCTTAATCTGCATAAAAATAACAACAATCTGGTGAAGATCAAAAACAGTTGATATATATGTGTGTGTTACTTTTCGAATATTCTTCTTCTCTGTAGTTTTATAAACTATATCCAACGAAACAATGCCAGTATCATTAGTCTTTTAATTATAAATAAAACTCTGATGAACAGGTTGTATAAAATGTTTAATTTGAGTAAACATACTTTTCTGAGTTTAGAATGAATGTCCGGACAACGCTTATTTCAAAAATCAAGTGGACATGCTTATGCTTGAGCATGTTTATGAGTTTATGCTTGAGCATACAGATTGCCATACTTCTTCCCTGGGTAACGGCTATCCATACCCCATACTCTACGTGTATTTCTTACTAATAATTGGTTTATATAATACACGTCTAAAGTATTGTTTGCTCTTCCACTTTGTTTCCTGAGCATTAACGATCTTGCGTGGTCATTTTTAGCAAACTAATGATTCATTACAAAATAAATATGGAATAATTCAGCGTCTATCACAACAAAGTAAATACAGAATAATTGAGTGTCTGTTTACGATGAAAACAAAAATAATACTAAAATAAAATTTAAATGAATAACGATTAAACAGGCTAACGTGATTCATAAAAGTAAGTCTCCTTCTTACAGCGTTGGCTCAACTTGAGTGCAGCCTCTTGTCATGCAGCATAGAAAACATGATACGTGTCTTTCCACCCAGATATAAAGTTTGTTTTTGTTTCTTTTGTTGAATTTTGTGCAAAGCTACTCGAAGTTTATCTGCTCTAGCAGTCTCTAATTTTGCCGTGACAGATTAGAGGGAATGGAGCTGGTTAACATCACCTACCGACAACTCTTGAGCTACTTCGAATAGTGGGACTTGACTGTCACTCTTACAACGCACCCACGTGCCCAACTTACGGAGCGCGAATTTTTTTATTCAACGGTAACTTGGAACCTCTGATCCACAGGACCGCTGTGAAGTTTGTACCGCAGCGGAAATTACAATCTAAAAACAGTATTTCAATTTAAGAAAACATAAATTTTAAAAAAAAATTACAAATTAAAGGAGGAAAAGAGGTTGAAATACTAAAAAAAACAATAACTCCATGTCCCTTGCGGATTCTAAAATTTTTATTTGAACAAACTTCTGCAAAATATAGTATGGAAATTTGATCGTCACAGATTCGTTTTAGGATACAGAAACCCCTGGGGGTTTGCGAACCATGGTTCTACAGCTTTACCTTGATGAAACTATAAAGCGAAATACCTTCATGCTCTCTGTAATTATTCGTCTTTTTTACTTTTAAAATACATAAAACGTAGCAATAATTACATGGCACAGATATTTTAAAATTATTCGCCATCTCCGATAGTTAGCATAAATGAACCATTATTAACCCTCTATTGCACATTGTAACGTAAAGATAACAGATCTATCTCTGTTGCTTAATACACATACAACTGCTTCAGTTCTGTAGTTGAATGTTCTTACTGCCACGTAACAGTAGAAATAGACCATGGGACTGTTTCTATTGATTCCTCAATAGCACAGTGTTACTTCTAGATAACGTACCCATTTATAGCTTACCAAACTATACAATGTCTTGCAAGAGTATTCACCCCCTGCAAAGTTTCCACATTTTGTTACCGTCTGAGCTTACAATCATGAAACTTTTAAGTGGGACTTGATATTATTTAAAATCTACACAATCTACTCCAAACTGAGAAAGCTAAAAAATGCTGATATTATGTAAGTAAGTTAGATTTTAAAAGAAAATTAGCTTATTCTCAATTACATAAGTATTCAACCCCTTTGCTACGGCAACCCCAAATCAGTTCAGATGCAAAAGATTAGTTTGAAACGTCAGAAAATTGGTGTAATGGTCTCTGTTTTTGTGTAATCAAAGTGGTTTAGCTTGACTTCAGAGTAAATGCATCTGTTCAAGCAACAACTCACATAGTGATAAGACAAACCAACCATGAAGACCAAGGAGCTTTCCAAATAAGTCAGGGATAAAGCGGAAGAGAAGCACAGAGCAGAAGAAGGTTACAAGAAAATTTCAAAGTTGCTGATTATCCCTTTAAGTACGGTGAAGTCCATCATTAAGAAGTGGAATATGCTGCATACCACCCAACCACTACCCAGATCACGCCACTCTTTCAATCTAAGAAGCCGGGCAAGCAGAATGTCAACAGCGACTTTGAAAGATTTGCAAAGTTCATTGTCTGAAATGGGAGTCAGTGTTCATACATCGACAATACCCGGAAAGAAGCTATTACTGATAAAGAATCATCTTAAATCTCGTATGGAGTTTGCAACAAAGCATGTAAATGATATTGCACACATGTGGCAAAAGGTTTTGAGGTCAAACGAAACAAAATATGAGATTTTTGGTCTAAATTCAAAGCGCTATGTTTGGCGCAAGCCCAACAAAGTACATCATCCAGTCAACACCATCCCAACTGTCAAGTATAGTGGTGACAGCATCATGGTATGGGGATACTTCTCGCCGGCATGGACTGGAAAGTTTGTCAGAATTGAGAGGATGATGGATGGTGCAAAATATAAGCGAATCCTAGAGAAAAACCCGCTTGAATCAGCCAAATATCTAAAACTGTGTCGAAAATTCATATTTCAGCGGGATAATGACCAGAAGCACAAGGCCAAAGCCACACTGGAGTGGTTTCAAAAGAAGGAAGTTAATGTTTTGGAGTGGCCCAGTCAAAGTCTTGGCTTGAAATAATGGAAAATTTATGGCGAGACTAGAAGATTAACGAAGATCCTTAACGAACTTGTCAGAAATGGAGCAATTTTGCAAGGAAGAACGGGCATACAAAAAGACACACAGCAGTAATTGCTGCCAAAGATGATTCCACCAAGTACTGACTTAGGAGACTGAATACTTATCCAGTCAGCAAATTTCAATTTATGTATTTTCTTTGCAGGTTTTGCTGACATTCAACTTTCTTCACACATGACAGTGTTAAGTTTGATCATTAGAGTTTTGAATAGAATCAAGCTCATTAAAAAATTGTTTACATTACTTGTATTTCATCAAAATGTGACAGTATTGGTAGGGGTCAATACCTTTGCAAGGCACTGTATTTCACAAAACATTTTTTATGCAATATAAACCATTTAAGTAAGAAATTCACGGAAAATGCTTTTCACCGTATTTTCATAATGCGTAAAAAAGAGTTAAAGATGTTTGTTTGTTTGTAATTAAGCACAAAGCTACACAATGGGCTATCTGTGCTCTGCTCACCGCGGGTATCGAAACCCGGAT